CTTCATACAGAATGAAAACTGTCAGCATGTTTTGCCGTCAGATTTTCTCCTGCCAAGAAGCCGGCAGAAGTTTCCCCTGACAGTTCAACAGCTTGAGAGTCTTATTTAGCTTCTCTCTTCTGGAGAAGCAGGGAATTACATCGGTGTAATTCTTGTTCCTTGAGAATACTAAAGGCAAATGTGTCCCTGCTGTTTCACCGTTATTCATGCAGAAGGACTTTCAGCTTCTTGTTTCAGTAAAAGTTTTATAACATAATTGATGGATACGTAGAATGGATTGTCTGGATTTTTACTACAGTGTGTTCATAGTCATGTCTTAACAGCAGCTCTCACAAAACATGAATTGTCTTTGTTGGAGAACGCACAATCAAACTGTATTAGAAAAGTCTAAGCCAAATTCATTTTTAATTTTAATTTGTGGGTTGATTTGTTCTGGTAAAAAAGCATAATATTAGGAATGCAATTTCTTTTTGCTTTGTGGCTGAGAGGGACTAGAGCCCTGGTCCCCCGGGCCCTGCTGCACCTCTCTGGCTCTTCAGACACTCTTGTCTGATAGGTATTGAAGAAACAGAGCTCTGAAACAGTGTGAGGTCTGTGCTTAATGCTATTCAGATTGACAATAAGGCGAAGAACATGCCCCAGTGCAAACAGCCGATGGCAGTCTGTGCCACCCTGTGCCAGGCAGGAAATCCCCCTCCTCCTGCTTTCTCATATAGTCATTGATCTGGCTGTGGTGACTGGGAGGAGTCTCTGGGAGCCACGCTTCCAAGTATCCCCCTCTGCCTGCCTCTCTGGTACATTGCAGGCTGCACGAGTGCTGTGTCAGCACCAGGGACCCTTGAAAATAAGGTCTTCGGTATGGATGCAGCACCCCAATCCCAAGCAGCATGTAGATCCCAAGATAACTGATATCCATACTTGAGACGGGGGCATCCTGGACAGCTGCATTGTGCAGGGGCAGCATCCAACTGGGTGTGCACCCTGCCACTCCCATGGCACCCCTGCTGATGCCATTCTGCGGGTGAGACCCACCCCTCCTGCCATGGAGATCGCATGCTCCCAGGGGCAACCAGAAGCAAAAGAAACGGCTTGTTTCTGGAGCAGCACACGTATCTCAAGCTCATACAACGCATCTCCACAGACCCGTTCCAGTGCGGGAACTAGTGCTTTCACTTGTTTTGGGGCTTCCCGCTGGAAGTATTGAAGCGCTTTCATGGAAGCAAGCCTGCTTGCACAACAGAATTGCTTCCACTGTCTGGTTGTCTGGGATTCTTGATGCCTGAGGCATCAGGGCAAGGAAGTACTGCCAGACAAGTTAGAAGGATCCAAGTGCAGCAACAAGGACCCGTCACTAAAAAACTTATGACAAGCCAGAGCCAAAGTGCCATGGAGTTGGCATTGGCTAAAGACTTGGGACTCCACTCTTGGGACTCAACAGTTGGGAAGTGATGCTTCAGTCAGTGTTTTCACTGAAGAGAAGGCCTGAATATGCTCACTATTCCAATGTCAATGGACAGAAGGCCTCCCATGGGACATTATCACTTTCCCAACAGGGAGGCTGCAACTTGCAGTCTCAGGCCTAGAAGAAAACAGATGACTTTCCACGGGCTGGGGAAGCACAGGAGAGTGATCCGTGGGTGCTTTTCATGCACCTTTGACAGCTTTATGCATGTTTGCTTGGAATGAGCCTTTAGCCCTTCAGGGTAAGGACTGGGATGTTTGTGCGTGTCTAGTGATGATCTCGTGTGCTATTTTTAAATACCATTTGACCTAAAAAGCAGATGCTTTACTCTATACAGAGAACCAAGCAGTCCTTAAATGAACATTTCTGACAATGTGTTGTGCTTTATAGGTAATAGATTCAGTTTTAAGACATAATGAGTTATAGTGGATATCACTTATGCTAATTCCCCCCCCTTTTTGTGGCCCCCAGTGTCACACAGGCCTCCATTCAGATGGTTCTCTCGCAGGTGGAAGAAAAGTAGGGAGCTGAAAAGCCATCGGGCATGAACAGATTCCACTCTGGCATGTTTTAATATGCTTATACAAAAAGTTAATTTTATTTCAAGAAAGCCACTTTTAAGAGATACCTTTCAGTGCCCTGCAGATACAGTTTAAGTGGGGAGAAAATACAATTTTAAATCCCTGTTTTAATTTTAAACCAACCACTTTTTATTCCAACTTCTTTCAGAATAGGAATAGAATCTTTAATCAATAGAAAAGGACAGATATATATGTGTTAGTCTTGCTCATACTGGGGGCTTTTTGAGGTCAAGCTAAATCCATACAATTTCTTCTTGAGTTTAATTTTTTAAACAAAACTATGGAAATTCATATACATTTTTCATAATGAATGTATTAATGTACATTCATTTTGGAGTCTGCACACAAAGACTAATGTGTGTTTGTGCATATTTTAGAATGGTGCAGATATTTTTAAATACATTTTGCTTTGTTTTATGAATTCATTACATACTTGGAAATGTACAGATTTCAGAAAACAATTTATTTTTGGATCCAGGATAGCTTTATTTAAGCTAATTTCATAAAAACAAAGTCAACAGAGAGAATTTCTCACATACATATCAAATGCAGCATTATTTTACGCCAGGGACATCTTTTGCAAGGTTAGTTAAAGATTCGAGCTGTGAAATGCAAAAAGCAGCCAAAAATACAAAAATATCTAAAAAGGATAGCATGGCTTTGCATTCACTTGGTTATTTAACCTAGTCAGCTACTGTTAGAAGACTCAGTCAGTAATTCAGGTGCTTTCCCATGGGTGGATCAAGGAAGCAGTGTTCATCAAGATACTGCACTTGGGCTCTCTGCCAAATTCATCTCCGGATCCATCATCTGCCGAATCTCAGCCTTAGGAAGCTGCATCTTCACCTTATGTAATCGTGAAGGAAGAAGGGATGTCGCCACTGACATTCAGACTTCTATTAATGACCGTGCTTGTGGTACATGTTTGCATCATTGTAATCACAGAAAAGAATTGTGAAAAAGAACAAATGCCCACAATGTTTCTCTGATTTTTATGAACATTTGTTCCTAGTATAATCGAGCATTTATTTTTAAATTAACATTCTATTAATATTTTCACTGATTTTGCAATAGCTACATCATAATTTCCACTTTATGAGCATGACTCCTAGTGACAAACACAAGTATTTCATTACTAGTGTATCTTTGCTTTTTTATAGAAATATTTGAGCCAATATTTATAATAAGAAGTATGTTAGCTAAATATGGGTCAGTGATGGGTCATATCAGACTGGTTCAGATTTAAGGTAAGCCACTTCTCCAAAACACAGGGAATGAATCTACTAATTTTCAGATTAGTCTGAATTTGAACCATTCTTGGCTTCATATGTAAATCAAGAAATCGTTCAGTTCTCCCAGATCCCTTCCTGCAGCCAGGCAAGCCCTTGCCTGCCTTTGGGGTCCACTTTGAGTTTAAACAAGATGTACAGAGAAAACCAACTTGGAGACAGGCCACCAAGCAGCCTGCTGGGGGCGCTGCCCATGAGCCCTCGGGCAGGATAACCTCTACCCACCTATCAGTGTTTTTCCTGCATTACAGCCTTTTTCATATGATGTACCCAAATTGTTCAAGAATTTTAAATAAAGGGGTTGTTACTATGGGGCAGGAAAACCACGTCTTGGCCCAGTCGTTCTCTGCCGTCAGTGGCCTTTCTCTCCACAACCCTTCCCCCCGCCACCCACACACCCTCCTGAAGAAGCCACCGAGGATTTGCAGTGCCTTCCTCTTCCGCTTGCAAATCCCGGAAGCTCTTGTCCAAGCTTAATCCTGTCATGCTTTGCAGGTACCTCTAACACTGGCTTTGTTTCCCTTGTAACATGACGTGTAACTTCTTAATAAGGTTTCATAGCTGCGTAATGCTTTCAAACGTGCTTCACATGGTGTTTTCTATTTGCAATCTTTGCAAGAACCCTGTACGGTAAGTCAGTGTTGTTATCCTGCATATTGGAGATGGGGCAAATGAAGCTAAGAGAATGGCTTGCCAAAGGTCACCTGGAAATTTGAACAGAAGCTTCCCTGATATGTAGGCTCTCCTATTTTAAGGTCCTGGGAGGCAACCACCTCTCTTCACGGATGTTGAGTAGTAGCAAATAAGTACTCTTTAAAAAATTTTATATTTTTTTAACTGGGTTGATGCTACTTGGATTTTATGCAGTTGACATTAGGAAGAATTTGTAGATGATTTCTGCATGGAAAATACTTTCCCAGTGCAGCTTTCAGAATCAAGAATCAGAATCAGTTCCTGATGAATGTTAAATCTTATTCCTCCCCACTCCACCTGATTAAAGTATATGGGATTAAGATTACAAATGTTTACCTCTAAATGTGAATGTATTGATATTCAGATATGTGACTGATGATAAGTGAATTTGGATCACTCCTTTTTCTATGGTATTTATTAACCAACATGTTTACTATTATTTCAGGATGAAATCCTGTATGCATTAAGCCAGGTGTAAGCTCCATTGAACTTGATACTGCTAACTTCTGAGTAGACACGAATGGAATGAAGCTATTTTCAGGGTTATTAATTATTACATGAATTTGGCAGTGAGTGATTTCCTTTTTCTTTGAGAAGGAAATCTACATACTGAAAGACAGAATGATAATAAGTATCTGCAGATGTAGACTAAAGGAATATCTGGAGTTTTAAGGCAGAGCCATCAAAGTCAACAAGAATGACACAGAAATGTATTCTGAATGGTTACTCTTCTGACTACAATAAATTGGCTACAACCAATTGGCACAGCAATGGGACTGCTGCATAATTTTGCTCCATGCAGAAGCTGCTGATCCATTGTTCCCAATTTTAAAAGGCATTTTCACTAATTTGACCTTGGAAATTGAGTCAATATTTTTAAAAGAGTAGAATGTTACTAGAAAGATATTATTTCTGTCAGTTGCAAAGCTATGTCCATTCCGCAAGCAACTTCTCTCATTCTTTCCTCCATTGCAGATCGAAGTAGTCAATACTTTCAAGAGTGGGACTTCCTTTCAGGGGGCTCTCAGGAGACAATCCTCCGTCACAAGCCAGAACCAGGATGTAACCAATATTTCTAGCCCTAGCCACGTTTCGTTATCCAATGCTCTTTCTTCTCCTACCAGCACACCTGCTGCGGCGGCTGGGCGTGAGTGTGTATTCTTAATGCATCTGATTACAGAGATGCCAACTTATCTAGCAGTCATTCAAGGCTGAGCCACTATGGCCCTTTTTCCACCTCTTACTTTCCGTAACAATCTCATGTAGTTCAAATATTTGCATGCCACACGGGCATTTTGCTGCGTTCTTCCTTTCAGGTCCTCATTTCACCAGTAGGGTGTAGCTGTTTGTGGCTACCCCTATGGAATACAAATCAGTTTCTCCTATACTGAAAAGGTTTCTGTATGGCATTTTTTTCTGAAGAGTTCATATTTCTTCTTTGCCTCCATAAATTGATTTTCCTTTTGCCTCGTCTTTCCAAGGATGCTTTCCTTTATAGAAGTGAGCTTAATGTTATCTTGTAGGAAGACTATGGAAAACAGATTCTTCTCATGCATGTCTAAGATGCTAAAGGGTTCCCATAATATTTATTATTTAATTCTACTATGAAGGCAGTTCCCTAGTCCATGACCTAGTATATTATTTTAAAAGTTCCATAACCTAAGGATTTACAAATACTAAGATCAAATAAAGGCAGAAAGAATTTTCTCTGTGTATGGACAATCCTTACATGTCTTCTTTCAGTGAAGAGTAAAGAATTGTTAGGTTGATGTTGCTCATCTTGATCTGCTAAAACTATTTTTGTGGGGACCTAGGAAGGAAGTAGATACAAAAGGAAAATAATTTGCTTGTGTTGCCTTGGCTGTCCCTCTTCTGCCTTCCCCTAGTATGCATCAGCAGGCAAACATGCAACTTAGCCCCTATTTCCAGCCTTCAGTCATATGGAAGGTGGAATTCTTGGCTTCTTTTTCAAAAGCTCCAGGATTTTTCAGTGTGGCAAATCCTGGACTTGAATCATTAATGTAGCTATTGCAATCAGGTAAGAGGTTGCTACTGAATGTTTGGGGAATCAAGCTGTTCTCCCTAGTTTAGCCTATCACTTGCACAAGGAATTTGAGACAATTAGTTAATGTCCTCAACCCCCAGATTTGTTTCTTACATTAATACAGTTAATTAAATGGAGATACAGGAAGCAGAGTCCCCCGTGGAGTGGGCAGCAAAGCTAGAAATACTTTCTTCTAGCTGACTTTCTTCTCTTTCCCCATTTTACCCAGTCAGTTTTTTATTATAGATTCAATTCAAGATCAAAAACCTGTATTTTATAGGCTTTACTTTTCTTAGTCTGTATTATACTGATTCTGTGTCAGGAATGGGGGTACACTTATAGGGTCTCAATAGAACAGTATGCTAGGAAATAACACTTTAAAGATGCATTTTAAACTAACTGCGCTGTGATATTTTACATTCATCTTAAAAATAAACTATAATATTTAGGGTTTTACACTTGCCAAGGTATCAGGCGGATTAGTATTTAACAGAACTAGCCGAGGTAAGAGATGCTTGCTTCCACATTATGGCTCCTTAGCAGGGACAGTCACAGAAAATTGCAGTTGTCATAAGCTAACCAGTTGCCCTGGCTGGTGTCCAGTTAAGGCCCCCCACTGATCAAGCCATTTCTCTTCATGGAAGAGGGAAAGGAACAATTTCCACATCCACCAATGCATTCCCCTTCCATAGTGTTATGGACCATACCCAAGCGGATTTTGGGAACAAAATGCATGGGGAAGCCCATTGCACAAGCTAAGCTCCACTCCTGAAGTGCTGGATGTATTTCCCTTAACTGTATTTCACAAACAAGCATTGAAACTATTTTAGAATGTGTGAGGCAAAAAGGAAATAATAATGCATGCACTCACCTTTTATTCTTTGTTCAATCACCTAAAGATTAAGAGAAGTAAAGGCTATTTGTTTTCTATGTGACGAGCTGGTCAGATAGTCTTGACAATTGGTTTTTTAAAAAACCAAGAGAAAGGAAACGGAACTCAGAGGACTGTATGCGGACTCGCACCACTGCAAGTGATGCACACACTGTGTCTGGGCAGAGAGGGTACCTCTGCTTACAGACGCAGGGCCCCGTCTGCATCGCTTCCTTCAACCTTTCTCATTTAGTCTCCTTTATCACTATGTTCTAATTTATTAAAACCAGACATGCTTCTGCTTTAGTTTTAAAACTATTAAGTTTTAAAACCTGTGAAGTATTTTGGTTAGGTTGTTGGTTGTGCAAAGACAGACAGACATAAAAGAAATTACTTTTGCTTTCAAGAAGGTTTGACTATATTGCTAGCACTGAAAGCTTTCTAGCTAACGTACAAATATGTGGGAGTGTCTTTAAAGAAACAACCCTCAAGCATGTGTTTTAATTTTACTTCTCTTGATAAGGTGTACAGAATTTATTTTATATATACAGAGTTTGTACAATGTTTACTTCATAGAATGCTGGCTTCTGTCGCCATGCAAAATCACAGATGTGCATTCATAAGCGCATCTTCCTGATCTCCACTGTTATTCTCCTCTTTTTGGAAAGGAAATGCATATAGATGTTCTTGATGCACATGCACAATCCAGGTCATATTTGACATTCAGTGTGTGCATGTGTGTGTGCACAAAATCTACCACACACAGACTCCCCTGGAATACAAGAGCTGTCCCTGTGTCTTAGAACCAAGTAATTCTTTCTCTTTCTTGATGTCACTAAGCAAACAGGGTGCCCATATTCTGTATCATTTTACTTTTCCTTTGGAATTTGGAAAATACTGAAGATTTTTCTCTATGGAAATACCATTTAGCTGAACTATTACATCCGTAGGGTGGAGATGGTTTATGCTTTTGTTGCAATTTGTGTGGTTGCTGAAAAGCTTTCCAAAATACCGCCGAGATTGCAGAAAGTGCCTAATATGATGATGCTGGTGCACAAGAATGCACACATGTGAGTGTATCCCCTTTCGCAAAAGTATTCCTGCTGGGGTGTCAACGTGGGTCAAATGGCCCTCAGCATTACGAAGATGCCTACAGTGGACTCAGCATCAGTGCTGTCTTTGCATAACCACAGCTCTAACTGAGAATAGCACCCATTAAAACTGAGTTGGCATCTCTTGGCAAAACCGACTTTGTGTTTACATTGTAAACTAATCTCCTTACTGTCCTTTCAGTAGAATTGAATTATTTGCTTTTGCAGTGCCCTACTCTCTACTTTCTGAATATTAAATGTGTTTGTTTTCCCAGAGGGCTAGAGATCACTGGACAAAAGGGTTCAGCAGGAGAGAGTGAAATAAAAAGAGGTTGTGAGTCTTTAACCTTGAGCCTGACAATGAATGTGAACCAAACTCAAGATACTTGGCTTATATGAAGCCAGGTAAACATTCGAGTATAAGCCCATGTGCTACCTACTGTTGTACCACTGAAAACTGGCCATGCTTATTTAAACGGCATTGTTGTGATAGGAGTGATAGTCTACATTTTATCAGGAGGTGGGTGTTTTTTTCTTTCTTTTGATGGAGGTAAAAATCTGCAGTATCTAAAAGAAATGTATTTTATCCTTTCTTTGCCAGATGCAAACATTTAAGTCTCACTTCCAGGGTGGGGCAAAACTGAAGCACTTTTTTATTACAGCAACAGAGAAGAAAGAAGTGGAAACTCAAAAGTCATGTCAAAGTGTCCTGAGATGTTGTCCCCAACCCCTCCCTAGTCGTTTGTGAAGAGCAGTTTTTTCTGTTGTTTCCATTCCTGTAAGACAAGGGAGCCGCGCACCTCATTGTTTGTCATCATCCATGCCAAGCCGTGTCCTTTCATAAACGATGTTCATTACCATGCAGTTGGTATAGCTTTCTGTTATATCCCCAGGTGCATACATGTAAAGCAAACTTCCCCTTACCTATATAATTATATAGCTTCAACTTTGTCACTTCTGCCGTCACAAGCCTCAGTTTTAGTGTTCTAGTTAAGCTATATTAATACACTTCCCTAAATTATACATGCCAAATTTTAAAAGATTAGTGAGCATAAACATAAATATAGAGAGGGCTGATCTCACAGGAGCTGCACCTGAATTTGGAACATTTCCATTCCCAAAAGATAGTCTTACAGAATAAAGCTAAACTGTGTTTTCTTAACTCTCTCAATCTCAGAAAGCACTTTGGAGATATTGCACCAGCTCATGTAATATTTTTCAGACATTTTCTTTAAGAGGTTATCATGCTAGAACCCTGGTGCAGACGAGGGTGCATTCTGGTGGAGGCAAGTATCTTGTACAGTCAGAGATGGCTAGTCAAAAATTACTCTTGGGAAAGAGTAAGTCAGGGACCGCCTGAGTCCGTCCTCCGTGCCTCCCATCCCCACAAAGCCCGCAAAGGCAGTTCAGCCACCAGTTCAGCCACCAGTTCAAGGATGCAGCAGCCTCACGCAAGCCCCTGACTGCCGTGCAGCACCTTTGCATGCAGAGGTGAGATGGCCAGACCAGGAGCTCGGTCTGCTTGCTTAACTGGGGGTAGGGCACTGTCCTACCCACCCTGCTTGCAATTACTATATACCTTCTGGGAATAGTGCAAAAAAATCTTTGAAAAGTTAAAAAAAAACAGCAAACCTACGGCTACTTCTGTGTTGCTTCGTGGGCATATTAACCTAATAAGGCTTCAACTAGGGGATCCTGCAGTAGTATTTATCCCAACCATTCCCCCAGTCCTTATCACATGTATGGCAGCAACCATTCCACTAGTACCACTCCTACCAATAGTAATGACAGTAGCAATATGAGTCGTATAATTAACCTGTGCGCAAAGATATGCATATAATGTTACACATCTAGCATTGCTTTTTTGATCCTGGATTTTTCATACATAGCGTGAATATATTTAGTTTGTTTATGTTAACATTCTTATCCTTCCCTTGTAGTATGGAATGTCATGCTGTAGAACAGGGTTCCTCGAACTATGGCCCGCGGGCCAGATCCGGCCCGCCGTGCCCATTTATCCGGCCCGCCATAGAGGTTTTGGACTTGCCGCATGCACGCACACATGTGCACACGGCAAGGCGGGGGCTTCTCGTGCAGAGATCGTTTTGGGCTCGCTCGGAGAAAAGGATCTCCTTGACAGCAAGCCAGCATCTCGCCACACGTGCACATGCACCCCCCCCGGCCCGCGCCCCCCACCCACACCGCCTTGCCGGCTCGTGCTCATCACTGGCACCTTTCAACTGGCCCCCTATTTAAAAAGTTTGAGGACCCCTGCTGTAGAACATAGTCACCTTAAGAATGACAAATATAAATAAAGCCCTTTCGACCCAGTAGATACTGCAAAAGTACTAGGCACAGCTGAATTCAAGGCACAAGTTGTAAAGCCAGCATTAGATTTTAATAGGATAAGCTTTAAATGTTTAAAAGCATCAGAAATCTGTAGGTAAAAAGTTTATATCAGAATGCATACCCCCCTCTAAGCACACTTTTTTTCCTCCCCATTCTTCCCTGATTCCCTGCCATCCTGTACCTGCTGTTGGTTAAAGATGCAGTACCAAACTGGGAAGCAGTTAGATGAACTTTCTGGTTCTCCTGTGATAATGCTGGATAAAGCAGAAATTTAAACAGGACCAATAGCAGGGGACTAAACAAAAGTTCTTGAGCCAAGTGATAACAGGAGCAGCAGCAGCAGCAGCAGCAGCAGCAATAATATCAATGGAGGCAAGTTTCTTTTAAGGAATACACAGTGTTTCCCAAAAGACTCCCCATGCCTCACATGTACACTGTTCCTAGCCCCCGTTTCCTGCAGCATCAGCACCACCTTTTATTTCCATAGTAGTAGTTCTTGTCCTTAGTGAGTGAGGCATCATTATGCAAACTTGTGGTTTTGGCCATGTGATGACATCACTGAAAAGAAGATAAAGCCAGTTCAGAGTGAAAACATTACCCTCACTCTGAACGGCCAGCACTATTTATCAGTGTTACTAATACAAAATGGCACTGAATCTCCAGCAGTAGCCACTGCTTCCCACTCCTGTGGCTCAAGGTTCAGGAGGCATTAGTGACCTGGATATGTCTTTGGCACACTACCTTTCTGCATCCTCCTCTCCGGTGCAGTTGCCTAAAGTCCTCCAAAGGTCAGCAAAAGGGGACAGTGTTTTGCTGGATTATAAAATCTTTAGAGAACCTCCACCATCGCTGCCGCCGCCACCACCAAGTTCAGACCAGCCATCACAGGACTCCTGACCCAGCAGTTACAATTCTGCCTACCAACATTCTAGTTCAGAGGTGGGCAGTTTGGGCTTTGGCCTTCAGCTTCCACAAGCCCCAGCCAGGATAACTAATGGTGATGGAAGATGAGAGTGGCGGGACAGGCACAGGTTGCCTACCCTTATTCTCAATTCCAAGCACATTTATTCAAAAGGAAGTTCATATTTTTTTCAATAGGCTTTCATAATAAGTGCACTAAAGATTCCAGTCTAAGGAGGTAACAAATGTTCTGAGACCACACAAGGGCCTACACATAGTGGCTGTAACAGGTGGTGCCATGAGGCATTTTGAAGTGCAGTGGATCTGTAAGAATCTGTGAGCATGTCTTCAGAGAGGAAGACACATCTACAGGTGCATGTGCCCCCCCCACACACACACAATCATGTTTTTTCTATTATATTATTATTATTACGTAAAAACTCCCTCATAAAATGCAGGCACCCGGAGCAAGCACTAATAAAAACTCAGAGTTAAGTTTACAGGGTTTGATTGCAATCCTATCGTGATATAAGCTCCGTTAACTAAGTGGTGCTTTCATCCACATAGGTTCAACTTGTTTTTAAAAAATGAGCTTGTACAAAAACTTACAGCCAGCTGAAATGAAACATTTAGCTTTCAAGTAGGAATGTGTACAGTCTTGTAATGATATGCTACCATTTCAAGGGCTAGGATGAAGGAAGAAAGCCCTCAAAAGAGAGGAATGAAGTGCTTAACTTACTCTCTGAATTATTTGATGTTAATTTGCCACCAAAAAAAAAAAAAACATAAAAGTTGAACCTCATTGTCTCCTCTTTCACTTTCTTGAGAAAGAATAGTCCATCAGTTCCAAGGTCATCTGGCTGATGTTTTTGCTGCTACTCACTTGGCTTCCTTCTCTATATTCCTTCTTTACCTCACCACTAACTACAACCCCATAAGGCGGCAGTCCCCTGCCCACCTAGGTTGTCAAAATCCAGATATGGAGAGACACTGTAACTAGTGAAGGACAAATTTCACTCATGTCCTCATTTTTATTAAAGTTGAGTTTGCTCCATCCTTCTTACACATTAGTTTGCATTTTTAAGTCCACACGAAAATTAATATAAATTTTGGTGTGCATTTCTCAAAATGTATGCAGTTTTGTATGCATTTTGTACACATTTTTTCAAATTATATGCATTTTGCAGACAAATTTCCCCTATGATGATGATGATGCTCATTATCATCATCATCATTATTATTCATTTCTATAGTGCCCCACAGCTGAAGTTCTCTGGGCAGTTCTTGTGCACAATTCCCTGTAAGATACTCCTTTTCCGCCCAGGCTTCTGTTTTAAAAAATATATTCATATTTTTTGATATCTGAACTTACAAAAAAGTGAACACATCAATGTTTAATTGCATCCCATGTATGGGGCTGAGTAGTGCAAATATGGTATGTTTGCATAAAAAAAAATATGCACAATTCTCACCCATCCCTAATGGTAACACTCCTGTAATTATGTGAGCAGAGGCTACAGATATTCCGTTCCCTTTGCTTCCTCCAGTTTCTCCAGTTCCAAGTGGCCACAGAACAATTCTCAGATGCTTGTTTCCATCTTAAGTACCATATTTTACTTCTGGAGCCCTTGCTTATGTCATTTTAAAAAAATCTAATGGACTTTACCTTTCCTTAATCAAGCTTTGGCTCATGTCATATATTCAGAACAAAAATCTATTTGAGGTTTCTAGAAACCAAATCATTCCTTTAGAGCAACCCCTAACTAAATTTGGAGTGGTGCACTCTTCCTGAGTTCAGAATATGGCATTTTTAACTTTGGCTGGGGACAAATTTGAGATAGGAGGCCACAGGATTTTCAATAAGGCACATTTATGGCCCTTAGACCCTTGGCAGGCACTCCGGCCAGCAAGTGGTTGCTCACTGCCTCCCTGCCACTTGCTTCTCATTCAGAGTAGTGGCGATACTTTACGCCATAATTAGGAGACAAATAAAAAGCTCCGGAATCCTAGAATCCATTTATAGTCATAGCACATTTCTCAACAGTTTGCATATTTGCCATTCTGTTTTCTCCTCACTGATTTTTCCCTTCAAGAAACACTGTCTTCTTCTCACCAGTAATATTTAGTAAAAACCTCTGCATTGGCAAGAGAAAAAAAATCTAGACTGCTCTAGATTTTTGTCAAGGACAGCTCCCTGTTCCTTCCTGGTCCAGCAATGCCCTCTCCAGTCCCCGCAGTTCACTGCAGGCTTTGCAAAATGGGGCATGAGCTGTTGGCATCCTGTATTTCTGAAGTCCTGCTGCTGACTTTTCCCATGTTCTGACAGCTTAAAAATGGAAAGCCCAGAAAACACCCAACCTAATTAAATGGACATCGTTCAAGTACTGCAATGTACCACCTTATGAACTTAAGTTTTTGAACCATGTTCACCCGTGAGATAGAGAAAATGAAGGAATCTGATATTTTACAATCCACTTCTATGAAACTCAATCACTAAATAATTTTCTAGTCTTAATTGCTGACTAATAAACATTTTAAACAAATGGTTAGAACAGTGGGTCTATACTCGAGTGTTTACCTCACATATGCATGAAGGAAGAATAAAAGTTGAATCAACAATTACATGTTCACATTATCCAGGCTTCCAAGTGTAGTTGTTGTGTGCCAGTTAGCTGTGTTTATGTGATAACTGTGACTTTTTTCCTTTCCTGTACAGCATGCTTTTGCCTATTTGGTCTGCTTGGCTTTGTGTGCTCTCCTGGCTGCTTCATTTAGATCTTGCTTTTTAAAAATGTTTGCGTTTCTGTCCCTACATATGGCTCCTGTGTTTGTCTCTCATACCTCTCCACCCACCTGTCTCTGTGTTTTGTGCTTTCTTGTTTGAGATGTGCAGTTTGTCTTGTGGGGCGGGGCAGGGGAATCCTGTATTAATAAGCCTTTAAAAAATTACAAGCTTTCTTACTCACTGCAAAACTACCAACATGCATGGTTCTACATTTGCATTGGAATTAACATGGCTTGTCTTTTACTAGGGATGTACCACATGAGTGGATGTTTGCGTTCTTTAGCCAGTGCTTCCCATCAGTTCTGAGAGCAGTTCTGATGGCTTTAAACTCCTATGGTTTTAACATTGCAGTTGATTCAGACACTCAAAATGCACAAAACCGAGCCACTCGTGTATACATTGAGCTTCCAGAGACTATGGACAACAACTGCCTGCTCTGCTCTGCCCTAACCATACGCCACATCTTTTCACCTCCCAAATCGGTCTCTTACGCTGGGGTGGCTTGCCAAGGTGGTTGCCACTGACATCTCTCTTATCTTTTCCCTCCTGTCAGATCCGCGTCGTGAAGGCATTCCGTAGCTCTCTCTATGAAGGTTTAGAGAAACCAGAATCTAGAACCTCCATTCACAACTTTATGACTCATCCTGAATTTAGGATAGAAGATTCCCAGCCCCATATTCCTCTCATTGATGACACTGAACTAGAAGACCCTGCACTCAAGCAAAACCCAAGTCCACCATCTTCTCTGAACAAGAACAATAGTGCTATCGACAGTGGAATAAACCTTACGACTGACACAAGTAAATCAGCTACCTCTTCTAGTCCAGGAAGCCCTATCCATAGCCTGGAGACATCACTTTAGCTGAAAATGTCACTGCAAATATATTACTATCAATCATATTGTATACATAGACTGATATGTATAAACAGTGCTGGCTGACAAGCTGTTTGAACTTCTATTCACGTTGAAGAGAGAAAGAAGAACGAACGAATCACTCATCACAGTGGTTTTGGGGGAGGAGCGAATGGTTGATTTCCATATTCCCCTCTTGCCCCCTGCAGAAACAAATAAAAACAGTGCAGACGCCCTCCTGCATGAATGTGCTACCCACTTCCAGACGCCCCTTCTTTTTACTCCTTAAGCAGGAAACGCAGAGGACTCGTTTGAGGCTATTTATCCAATTCACTGGTCTATGAGTTTTGTTTTTGATTTTTTTAAATGCTTGTGTGGCATGGACTCCGTTGTATAGATTAATTTAAATGATCTTTTTGAAGTTGCAAAGCTTAACTTGCACAGTAGATTTGCACCAGTTGGACAGAGGAACCTAAAATAAGCATTTATGAGACTATATATAGAGATATATAAATAATATATTATAACTATATATGTGTATATATCCTTTTATATATATATATATAGTTATATATAATATTTCTTTGTTGGCATGTTGCCTTTTTCTGCTCAAATTGCTCTATTTTAACTTATTTATGTCCTAAAAATAAAGAATGTAATTTGTTTACAGAACTGTAGATAATATCCTTAACTATTTGTAGGGTTAAGACAGCACTTCCTGCCGAGATAATATACAAATGGCTCGATTCAATGAAAACTTCTGTAATACGGCACCCTGGATGTTTTATTACAACTGTGATCAGATTTTTGCCTGATAGGTTTTTTGTTTGTTTGTTAAATGATGTAGATATTGCTAGCATATAACAAAAGAAGCCAAAATATAACACACTGGATGTAGCATCGTGATCCTATATAGAGGGCGATGAAGCAGAAAGGCTTCCTTTGTTTTAAATACAAATTTAAATAATCAGTTTTTTTGCGCTCTCTCTCTCTCTTTTTTAATGAATTGTTTGACCTTGTTTTGATGCAGTACTCCATGAGGAGGCCATTTCCTTATTTGAGCGTATTACAATGGCTTCGTACACATTTTTTTAAAGATTATAACAAAGCTCAGTGGAGTCTCTGAATATCACTTAAAGTAAGTTATCCTTGGCTTTGGATGAAGATCAGTAGCAATGAAATAGCGTGTGCTAATTCTGTTCTGTTAGCAGCTTAGGCATTTATTTCATGCAAACTAGGGGCTGTTGGCATTTTGGATAAGAGCCGCTATGGTCTGTTGCTTTGATATGAAAAAAGAAAAAGGAAAGGAAAACAATATCATTTTCTGCACTTTGTAGACCAGAATGAAACTTTATGACGTGTATACTGAAATATGCTTTGTGTGATTATTTTAAAACCAAGCTTGTCTTCCTGTAGTCATAGAAGTATCCAGTAGCAAATCCACCAATGTTGTTTTCCCTTTCCACTGTGCTTTCCTCAAGGAAAGCCACTGGACCTCCTGCAATACTGGGTGAGATTTTTGTTTTTCAAGATGGTAACAGCCCCGATTATTTAGACGCTTAGATAATTGTTACGTCAACCACTTGAATGCAAAGCACTTTGTGGGTCACAGATTTTTCATAATGACTTTTGTATTTAATACAAGTTTGCTTCAAGACTTTTCAACATATAATCTTTTCCATACAATTGTACAGTGCAAAAGACATTTTGATTAACACAATCAGTTATGCCAGAACAGTTGGGTGAAAGGCTCTTTTAATGAGCTCCAAAACTGTATCTCTTGTCATATTGCCTGCTGTTTTAAAGCTGGCTAATAAGGTGGAGCAACGCTGTAGTCAGAAGAACTATTACAAGCCAGAAACTCTTCAGCCGAGGTGAGATTCCCGGCCAAGCTGCTGCTTGAAATGACTATATTCTGAGGCCGTAACATGAGTATTCAGCCAGGTAAAGCTCTAACCAGCCTGAATTGCCAGCTTCTGGACTTTTATAAGAAGCTTTTAATGTCTTTTGGCTCTACAAAACTCATTTTGATCCAAACGTCTGGCAGAACAGCAAATCTTCCCAGGCTTACACAATTCTCTTCTCAACAAACAGTGTGGCCCGTTTCTTAACTCGCTAGCTGGCATGAAAACCATTGACCAGCTTATTTGTAGACTCAGACTGAAAGTCTATGAATTAGTCAGGGTTCAGCCTTGGATTATAAATAACAGTGACTAACTTTTATGTAACGCTGAGGTTCTATATTCTACTTGGGATACCATATTTGAAAAAATAAAATAAAATCTATATACAGGGAAAAGCATGTAGCTTTGGACTAAAGCATCTACAAAATTGTTGGTACTGGAATACTTTTCATTTTCAACATCTTAATACTGATGATTTGCCTTTTATTTCAAGCTTGTTTTTTGTCCAGTTCCTTTTTTTGATTTTTATTTCATTTTGTGTGTGCACGCGTTGGAATACTGCTTCTTAATAACTAGTAGGGTACCATTTGCAGACTTGAAAAACTCTATAAAAGGAACCAAGACTTCATTCTGTACATATATAGTTAAAAGAAAGAAAAAGAAAGAAGAACATATATTAACTCTCATGCATAGGAAACTTCAGATTTTGTCACCAGAAACCATGCTTTACATATATGATAAGACTTTTAATAAATAGAAGAGAAGAGAAAGCAGATGAGTTGTAACAATCATTCAGCTACCAGTTGTGCTCCATGCTCTTTTTCTTTATTGCTTGGCCTCTCTGTGAATGGAAGAACAGATCAAAAAAAACCCAAAATGGTCTGTATATTGAAATTCACTGCAATACATAAAATGCTTGCTCTTTACGTACTGTACCTAAAAGCATGAGATTTGTGGAAAAATACAGCAGTACATTTGGCAATTCATCCCACTAGGGGCTATTATTCCTATACGTCCATTCATCTGTTTTTATGAATTTTTTAAATCTAGACAATAATTGTAAATAAAGAACTTACTGTCTCTGTTCATTTAATACTATGCAAAAGGTTATGCTTTCTATTGTTATTCCTACAGTGTGATGCTGGAATGTCTGTGGTTTTGAAAAAAAACACAAAAGTAAAATATGTGATGTAAATTATTTTATAGTTTGAAACAAAATGATAACGTTTTACTCTTGCTGCTTACTGTCTAATAGATATCTCCTGGCAGGAGCACAAGTGGAAATTTAAAAAATAATAATAAATTCACAAAGCAGCATGAACAATAAAAGTCTGAATATAACATCCTTCTTTATTTCCACTTTCAGTTGATACCACACAGATTTTGAATTCTGCTAGCATACTTAATTCTGGACACTTGAAAATATTTTGGGATTTTCAGCCTGAAGATTTTGTGGGGCATGGCTCTGTGGAAGACTGTTTATTGATCAATTGTGGTTCTCCTAGTTTGAAGCTGCCCGCATTAAGGAAGAAAGAATATGTGCCAGGAAGGCATAAGTATCTCCTTGAGGGGTTGGATTAATGGGGAAATATTTAAATTGCTTCAGTTTGCGTACATACGGTGAGTAAGCCATTTGCTTGAGTCCATATGGATGACCAAGCGGACTTGGGTCATTGTGTCATTTTGTGAAATGGTGAGGAAGATTGGGTCAAGAGGCTTGTAATTGCTTGTAATCAGCCTGTATCCTTTGCTCCGTGAGGGAAAGAATTTATAAGGAACGCTGTGCACAGATGCAAGCAGTGACATTCACTCCACCTGCTGGCAGGAAGAGACATGATCACTTGCAGAGTAGTTCTATCAGGAATGTCTGGCCTCCAGGCATTTCAGCCTATGACATTCAGCATCCTCATCATTGCCTATTCTTGCTGGGGATAATGGGGGATGGAAGCCAGAGCATTGGGAGAACCATAGGTTACACATCCTGGATCACTGCAGTGTATTGTCACATCATACATGGTTGTCCACATTCAGTCTTCATAGACTGAACCAGCAAGCAACAAGTACCTTCCATTGCATAAAGAACAGGGCACACTTCTAACAATGTCATAGTTACTGTGGTGCAATAAAAACTTTTATCCTTGATTTTTTTTTTCTGAAAGAACTTTATGGATATCCTCTGGTTCTCCCCATTTCTATTTGATTTTCGTTCCTTCTGCAAGTCTTACCATGCCAGTGAAATAGTTTTAGAGGTCCATCTCCCCTCCCCGCCTCAAAAAATGGTGATTGCTGAAATAGCTAACTGAAATGCCTGTTTCACAAGTATTATGAATATGCAGGTTAAATGTTTTAGTTGCTGGCGTTCTTCATTTTTAGAGGATTCTGGAATTGCATATTAAGGTGCAACTTATGTAGAGGACTAGATACAAAGGATTTTTGACCCTTTCTCTTACCTGGAATTCACATTAAAATAAATCATGTTTATAATAACAAATTGCCATAATAACAAAATATTTGGCAGCTGAATGTAGAGTGAAGTAATTGAACATTTGCATGATGTAGTTTAAGCCAGTCACACATAGAAACAGAGCAAGTCAGAAAGTGTCTCCTGGGCCATCTAGTCTGACCCCAGCTCCAGTTGGCTCCACTCATGACATGCCTACCATGTGCATGAGTGGAGGGTTTTGTAGCAGGTTTGTCTTGCAGGTCTACTAGGCCTTTTAGAAAACTCCTTTCAGCTGTGAATAGATGTCTGAACAGAACCACAGTTGTCTTGCTTAACTGAACTATGGTGCAAATACCAGCAATAGCATTGCAGTTAAAAGCTGGAAAGAAGTAAGAAGATGTGTGGGATATAATTTAAAACCAGGTACTGAGTTCTGTTCAGTTTTTCATCATTGATGATGAAAGACTGAACAGAACCACAGTTGTCTTGCTTAACTGAACTATGGTGCAAATACCAGCAATAGCATTGCAGTTAAAAGCTGGAAAGAAGTAAGAAGATGTGTGGGATATAATTTAAAACCAGGTACTGAGTTCTGTTCAGTTTTTCATCATTGATGATGAAAGACTTGATCTCCTTTTTCACATGACCAGTGTAGTCTGCTT